TCAATAAAAGTTTATTCTTATGGTATTTAGTGGTTTAAAATCTATAGAATAGTACTAAATAGTTCATTTCAAGGGATAAAATGAAAAGAAATGTCAATCGTCGACGTACAAATGGCGCTTTGGCTTTGTGGTGTTTCAGACATCTGTGTGATAAGTTTACAAACGCTTTGATGACCAAGTTTCCTTTAATCGTTCAAATTGATGCGAAAATGAAAGTAAATCTTGTGAGGATAACATAAACATAAATTTTGTACTCAAGATCAATCCTGTCAATAAATTTTATGACTATTAGTATGAAATATACCTATTGCAGATGTTACGGTGTCTTAAATTAGAATTGTTCATTTTGATAGTTTCATATTTTCGCTAAAGGAATAATCCATGTAGAAAAATTCTTTTGAAAGATAATCATGTTTATTTTAACTATGATATTGAATGTAATGTACAAAAGAGACCATTTTCACAAATTCAACAAACAAATGTTATTATTTGCTTTTGTTCTATGCTAATATCCTCCGCATGAAGGTAAAGCCCGATGCTTTCATAAAACAATTACCATTTTTTAGTAAAATAGAGAAAAATGATATAACTGGGCGTCTCATTTCGCATGGATAAAAGATATTATATTGGTCATAAATGTAGCATTTTGACATTGTAAAAGGCTGATTGAAAACATTATTAAGAGTAATTGTTTTCCTGATATGTATACATAGTCATCTAAGTGAACCCAATTGATGCATAATATTACATATATATAAGATTTTTTAAACTCATAAAAGGTCAATATCCTGACCTTTGAAAACGCAATTATATTAAAAAATGGTCCTGTCAAAAGGGGCAAATTGTCAAATGTTGCAACTCTGGACACCCATCTTTTATTTTATTTTTATTTGGTGGACCTTATTAAATGGTGTAATATGCATATGAATACATTTTATTTTATTTTTTACTGAAACTGAAATTAAGGCATGGTAACAGAGCACGGGGGCTAATAATCCCAAGAGATAACATTTTCATTTGACCCTCAAATAAATCCAATTATATAATGCAATCGATTTTAATTTACTGAAAAGGGCGATTATGAAATTTTACGATAATCATTTAAGAAATTGAACAATAGTTAAGGATACAGACATTAAAGTGTGATAACTAAATTAAATGAATCAAAGAAACCGCCTGTAGGTATGTAATGAGAGATTAAAGCTGTGCTTAAGATGTGGTGAAGGAATCAATGAGGTTTTGAAAATCAAAGGATCAATTTCAGGTAATTGTCGAGGTATCATTTCCTCGTTTTTGGAATTTTATGTAATATAAACCCAACCCTCTTTGATAAGCTCAGGTGCTTACTTTCCGTTCAAAATAAATATTTTAGTCAATTGTTTGACCGAATTTTTGGTCTCCTTTAAGAAAATTGATACATGAAGTATTTTCAAGCAGGAATCGTACTTAAATTGTCTTTACAAATTTCAAACAACTTGATGCTTTTTCAGGTTAAACGTTTCGGTTGTTATATTTACAAATATATATATAATTGTTAGGTAATTTCAATAAGGATTGGATATTGTACAAAAAACACCTTATGTATCAAAGTATATATATATATATATATATATATATATATGATAAGTTTACATGCGCACACTCGTCGCGAGAGTGTTTATTCTTGTGATTATTTTTTTCATAATTAACATTTATATTGCAATTTCAAAATGAGAAAGATATAAAAGAGATATCACAAAAAATTCGCAGCGACAAATTCCTTAATTTTGAAGTAATAAATTCTGATATACATGAACTCTCACGTGTACATCAAGAAAAGATGAGGAAGCATTAATTGAAAATTATACCTCATCATCTTTTATAAACAAAAATAAACTTTCATTGATGTTCGTTTCTGTGTAAATAAAATAAGAAATTGACGGCTTTATCTTAACGATTGTTTAACGGGAGCTGTCTCATAAAGTAAAATGTAATGGACATTCGTTTGTAATTAAGACCATTTTGTTTAAGATCTGTTTAATGTTCTATTAAATCTCTATTTTCTGCAATTAGAAGAAACGGCTTTTCACGCCAAATTAATAAAGAAAAATATTCAAATATCTGCCTTGGGATTAATTGTAAGAACTTTGTAATTGTAAGAACTTTGAACTCATTTTAGTTCTTTTAGAACATAGAGGTATTATATATTTGAATATAGTATACTTCTATGTTCAAGCCAGTTTTCCTATATCGATGTTTCTTTGGAAATTATTTGGAAAGAATGAAGGCCAAGATTAGATGCATTAACAAGAAGGTTTTGTTCTTAAAAAAAATCTCATTGGCAGTAAAGAACGTCAACATACTGATCATAACGGAATTTAAACTCAGAACAAAGAAATTCAATTATGGTTCAACATCAACAAAAATTTACTCTATCACTTTTTCATTCCATGATTTTTTTTCTTGTCAACTTTTCACCCAACTCTTTCCTACAAGTATCAAAAGTCACAAAAACGGCATTCGTTTATGCGAATTAATTATATGTGTACTCTCCAAAACGTACTGGCATGTTCTTTTGTGCTGATTCTGTTAACTCATAAATACGTCATCAAAATGTGTTGTCTGTTTTAGAAGAATCATGGCTTATTTTTTATCATTAAAGTGCAAAAAAATATATTTTTGAAACGTCTAGAATATACTTGTCTGTGATCAAGAGTTATACTGTAGATTTTTAATTGTGTCTCCATTCCTTATTTATGAACCCAACCTAATCAACAAAAACTGATAGCGTAGCTTTCATAGTGAAATGAACTCATTTTTTGAAGATTCGCCAAAATGTATGTTGTATAGATATGTATTTGACCCCAACATGTTACAATTTTATTTAGATCATGCTGTAAATTATATTTATAAACCATTTATTTGTAAATACCGCATATCTGCTCACTGTTTGAATATAGAAACTGGTCGATTTTATAATATTTAGAGACACCTGAGACTTTGTAATATGTGTGATAAACAAGTAATTGAAGATGAATATCATTTTATTTTAGTATGTGAAAAGTTTAATGAACTTAGAAAGAAATTTATCAAACCATATTATTGGAGAAAACCTTCGAATTTTAAACTCGTACAACTGCTATCTGTTCATAATGTAAAGGAACTTAACAATTTAGGTAAGTTTTTATTTCTGGCCGAGAAGGCACGTAATTAAATTCATTTATAAATGCTTAATATGCCTTTGTGTTATATTTTATCATACTCTGCTGTACTGTTATATGGGTATACTAACTTATATGATTATTTGACTAATTGTTTAAATGTAAATATATTTCACTGATGTAATTGAATATTTGTAATATTTATATTCTATAAGTTGTATTGCTTACGAATAAAATTTTATTATTAAACGCTGTAAACTATTTGTCCTGCTAATACTTTTAGAAAAGGGATGGATTTTTCAATAAAATACATTATTTTGCTTTTTTGAAATTACAATCAACGATATTTACATTTCGATAAATTCAATCTAGAAAGACTTGAACTTTGGTGGATAGTTGTCTCATTGGCAATCATACCACACCTCCCTTTTTCATATAATAAGTTTAATAATTGCCAGTAGAATTGTTCTTTTTTTTTTTGGGGGGGGGGGGGGATTAATTATACTTAATACATTCAGCATGCATGCCGCATGGATTTACTGTAAAAGAGAGGCGAAAGATACCAAAGGTACATTCAAACTCAAAACTCGAAAATAAACTGAAAACGACATGACTGAAAAAGAAAAACACAAACAACAAACAAACAACAGTAAACAAAACACAACATAGAAAACTAAAGACTGAACAACACGACCCCCATCAAAAACTGGTTAAATATTTCTAAAATTGGTGATAAAATGTAGAGTTGGATTTACATTTATAATTTTTTCGTTAGACCTATATCATAATTCTAGTATTTAAGTCAACCTAAATATACCAGAAACTCCCTAAACGACGAAACAATATATTCAAAGCAACACAACAATTTTTTGTGACTATCTTACAATATTAGATATTTATTATTTATTTTTTTTAAAGAATTGCCTTAATGTTAATGATGCATCAACACACAAGCTGTGTTTTCACTTTTATCTTTCCTCTTCACCGCCCATTCTCTCACTGTCGCACAACTCTTTCATGAAAATCTGCGACATCAGATTAAGCAATCAACGGTCCCCGCAGGTGCACCATGGGAATTGAATTTATCAGGCAACATCCGTGACGACATAATGAGATGAAATTAACGACCAATACAATTATCCGTTATATCAGCCGTTAGATCAAGCGCTAAATGATGCGTTCACAAACCAAGATTTATTGAATTAACAAAAGAGGCTTATTTAGAATATTTCTTATAATTAGATAAGTCTTAAGTACCTGTGGATAAGGGGATATAAATCACTTAAGCTATTGTCATCTTTGTTAACCAAGATATACAGTAGCAGTAGGTGGTATCTGAAAACGATTCGAGACCGTAGCGTGTCATGTTAACATACTATGTGTCTGTTAAGATATACCGGCGATATTACTAGTTAAACACTCTGGCATTCTGGGGTTTGTTTTGTTGTTTTGGTTGTTTTATTTTGGTGGGTAACGGGTAGCCGAAACGTTTTAATTATAAAGTTTAAAAGAAGTTATGAAACTATACATCTTGGCCTTTAAAACTCCTCATATCCTAAGATTGAATCGTTTGCTTGTCCTGGGACATGTTATATTAGGTCCCAGGCTTGTCTAAAAAAAATATACACACAAAAAAACTATGTCCTTAACATTTTCTCTCTATCTCTCTCTAAAGTACACCCGTCGCTTATTTACACTGAAGCTGAAAAATAGTTTTTTTTAACATCGTCAAACATTTTACCACTATTTGTTTCATAGTCTGTCCATGCTGTGCAAGGGTTTCGGGATTCCGGCAAAACATTTAAAAGAGATTTTTCAAACTTTTAAAACTTCCAACAAAACTATTAAAATTAATCTTACCTTGACTTGACTTTCAGACATCCCAAGCGCATAAGCAAGTCTTGCCCTTTCTGGACCCGCTAAATACTTTGTCTGTTCAAATGTTTTCTCTAAAGCAAATATTTGCTGACCGGAAAATGTCGGTCGTGTGTGTTTCTTTTTCCCATCCTTGTCCATGACAACATTCGAGCCTACAAAAAATCGACAAACACAATCTCAATTTCTTGACAAAATTTTGTGCATAATTCTTTCTTGAAGTATACTTTAGTAAGTATAATTTTATCATGTATAAATTATAACCTGGTTTTCTATGTTTAACCTCATCACTTCCGTTTTTAATTTGCATTACTAATACTAGCAACATATTTCGTGTTTTACTTAAAAATATCAATAGTAATTGAGTAAGCGTGTTATTTTAGTGAGACTAAATAAGGAAAATATGTTTTGAAGAAATACTGTATAAATAAAACCTGCATGCGAAATAAGATTTATTTGCATAGACCAAACAGGTTTTGTAGTTTTGTACTGGATATTTTCTACCGACCACGCGAGGGCTTCACAACTAGACAAGATCGTTAAACAATCCCGTAGAATGAGATTTTCTCCTACTATTCCTGTATTCTCATGATAAGAAAAAATATTATTATTTGGCTAAAACTCCCAAAAAATGAAAAATTTACTTTGAATATTTTTTTCATATAATTCATCGTGTTCTTTTATTGCTACATTTAAACTACGAGTTACGATAAATTTGAATTTGTAGCTGTCAAAAATTTTACAATCGAAATTCAGGTAATCCGTTTTATATTATCTTAGCAAGTCTATACGCCGCCCATAAATAAAAGAGCAAAGAACTTTTTTTTAAGTTGACATTTTGTCAGCTATTTTAACCAAAATGGGGACTAAGTGTTTTGCAAAATGCTGAATAAATAGATTTATAGATTTTCTGTCGTTTTCTGATTCCCTACAAAATGGTTTAGAAAATATAACAACGGTGGTCGATGAGGTTGTCTATACTTATTTTAAACCCTGTATCTTTCTGTTTGCTCTTAGATTGTACAGCACAGGAAGTCAAACGCCTGATACGATTAAGATACAAGGATAATAAATCAGTCAAAGTCTCCAAAAATTGGATCAGACACGTATCGTATATGAACTAAACCTGCAAGAGGAGACCTTATTTCATGGGACAGAATATTTCAGATTCACAAACGAAATAAACTGTCAAGTTCTACAAGTCTTTGAATACATGGTTAATACGCATGGCGAAAATCTGTCTTAATGCACTTGTAGTGATTTGTTAGGTACCTTAACAAAATAATAAAGCTTTTGGTGAATAAACCTAATAAAATAAATTACGGCGTCTTTAATCTGCTCATACCGTATGTAGCCCCACCACCTTTGACTACCACCATTTTCATATTTTTCATATTGCAACAAATCCTCTTTATGTGGCGGCGAAAGAAGCGGAGTTAGGTGGGGGCCAAGAATATTTATTTTACAAAAAATAGTTTTGCACTCCAATGTTCCAACGACTATCTGTTCCATCCCAAAAATTCTCGTGCTGCGTCTTTAAACAAAAACTGATCCATCTCGTGATCCAGTTGAGATTAATGTAGCATACATACGGTTTCGAGTTTTTTGTTAAAAGAAGCAAAACTTCAGGGACAAAGCGACCTTTTTAATCATGATTTTGTATAAAGTGACGGCAAAGGTTCTAACCTCCTTGGTTCGCTCATGTATTTTCTTGTGTCTATCTACAGCTGTACAAATTACAAGACCGATAACTCTGTTTGCTGATCGCCAAATGTAATTAGAAACCAGCATACAAATAATCCCTTACAGTAGCTAAATTAGAAAAATATCGTATCAATTTTATAATAATCAGTTATATAACTCTATCAGTAAATAACACTGTTTATAGTTTATGATATCGGATTATAATTTTGATCGATCAATTTCCGTACAGGATTTGATCAGTTATTTTATCAGATAACAACCATTATCTGGGGAATATTTAACAGTTTTAGTTGGCATTAGTCTTATTATTTTGATTGTGTTATTAAATTTAGATAAAAGTGAATGTTGGGGCATAATATTTTTGGACTTTTAAATTGTCTCTTGTGAACCAATCTGAACCGACTTTTGAGTATCATATTTTCAACTTCAATTCCTACAACGAAACTGCATTTTATCAAAAAGGTTAGCATTTCCTTTACTGAATTTCAGAATTTTTAAATTAAAGAAAGATTTCATTCAAAAATATACAAAATAGAATTTACGAGGTTAACTAGCAAACTTACTGTCCGTCTAGTGGCCGTTTTAGTAAAGCTCATTCTGTAGAGAGTAAATTTACAAAAATGACTAGTTAATGAGCTAAACGACTGAGTAAATTAGCTAGAAAGACTGAGTAAGATAAACAGAGTGAATTAACAAATGTACCAGTTAGATTTTTTTTTCAGTTTTCTATATTGTGTTTTTTGCATTAGTGTGTGGCTTTTCGTCTTTTCGTCGTTTTTTCGTTTTATTGCCATGGCATTTGCCAGTTTGTTTTCGACTTATGAGTTGGAATATCCCTTTGTGTGTCTAGATTAATTATTAAATTTGCTTGTAAATAAAATATTTTTTTATTGTAATAGGTTCAATAATATTTACCAAACAATATGTTATCCATTGCATTATGTTTTTTTATTTACTTGCTTTGAAATTTAGATGATAAGATGTTTTATAATAACAGCTTACTCCTAATAGTTTTCATATAGACAAATGCTGGTTAATTTATTCATTATTTTGTTATTTATTTATCTAATTATTTCCAAACTTGACGTACATTTCTTATATAAACTTTTTTTTCAGTTTTCAACTGCCTTATGTTATTTGCAGTCATTTTACTGAAATTTTGTAAACGATACGGTTTTAAACCAATAGGCTTATATCATATTGTTGTGTTTTTTTCTTTCTTTAAACATTGCGTTTTTTCGATCCGATAGTAAAAAAACATATGCTGCAAAATTTATACGTTTGTCTCAAAACATAGAAATTTTGCAAAAAATAAACATTAAAGAACATAATTACTTTTGAACCATATTTTAAGCGTTTATTATAAAAACAACATGAATAGAAATTAGTTTTTCGGATGTCTACATGAAGTATAGTATAAACACTTTTTAATACAAATGTTAAAATCATTATTTCCACATATTTATGTCAACACAACAGCTTTATAAATGTTTTTTTTTCCTTTGAGTATGCAAGCATGTACATAGTGCACATGCTAAAGAAAACCACAATTGCAGTAATTAAATTAAAACGAATATAATTTAAATAAATATATATATATCATATCGATGGCATACGACTAAGTTCTGTGTCATCAAAAACTTTTAAATGCGTTCAGGCGGTTTTATTTAATTCTTTTTTGGCAATTTCATATCGTTCTAATATCGTTAAATATCCTCTAAGTGAGTAGTTATGAAAAATGTACAAGTAAACATCATTTAAAAGTCAACAGTTTAATTTGATTAGTTGTAAACAATCAGCACCTTTGTGTTACGTTAAGTTCTCCACAGGAAACAAACATGGGGATATAAGACTTCCAACTGGACGACTGTGAATTTTCAGTGTACAATACGAGGCTACAAATTGATAGTAAGACCCATACGCTGTTTCACGTTTTAAAGATTGTTTGCTAATAAATGTGAACTACATGTATACAGTTTGATAAGTTGGAATCGCCTTTAGAGTAACGTTCATCAGGACTCAAAAATATTTTTAAAAACTAAATTTATTGCCTATATTTTCCTTTTTTCAAGAATCAAAGGTGTCACACATTTTATTATAACTTTCCTACTTTTTTATGGAATATTATATTTTGGGGAAGATTACTAATTCTTATCTTTTTAAAATAAAAGTAAATAAAAACCTTATTTTTCAAACAGTCTGAACAACTTTTCAAAACTTTTATATGTTTTCATATAAACATATGTGAAATTGCTTTTAAATGAGAAGTCCAAAGATGAATATTAAAATACTATCAAATTTTTCTTTTGAGTCAAAATTATTTATTTTTTTCCTGAATTTTTATACTGTATAAAAAATAAAATAATAATCATTTATTTACAATTAATAAGTCGAAATGCATATTTTGCCCATGAAGTGTATATTTTAGTATATTACTGGATAAGTATATAATTATATATTTTACCTGAAGCTCTCCAAGGATTTGGTCCATTAAATATTCCGGGCCAGTATATAGGAGGTCTGCCTGGAAGTTCTGCGAGTTTAGGAAATCTAGCTCTAGGGTTTAAATACATTCCTGCAGCATTGAAACCCGCTAGTCCAAGCGGTCTACCCAAAATGTCATTTATACCATGAGGAGTACCGTTGTTAAAAGCATGTTTCCAAGCTGCTGATGCGGATCCATTTTGTGAAAAAAAGTTTGATGATGATGAAACTGGGGTCTTCATTTCTGTCATATTATGTAAAGCAGCTAGCGGTGGACTACTTAGAACAAAAGCGGACTGTCTGGAATTTTCCATCGCCACATTTCCATTCATATTTAGAATAGAAGCCATACTAGGACTAGAGTTTGCTTGGTAAGCAGCGTTTCCGTTATTGTCATTCATAAAGCTATCCAACAACATGATTTTCGTTTTTAAAAAAATGGAAAATTAAGGTGTTTTTTTTTAATTCACTTGTGCATCTCCATTATTCGATAGTGTGACATGACTCTGGATAATGTCAAATAGTTCGAATATTTCCTTTGACAAATAGGTAATGTCTCTTTCAAAAACTGATACACATAGAATAAAATGAAAAATACGTCTGTGATAATTCTGTTTTCACTGTTCAATTTATCACACGTTGACCACTTAGATTTACAAATTTGTTTAGAACACATGGAATGAAAGTTAAGAGTTATCAATCACTTGTAATGCTACTTATTATCAAGTTTCAGTGCCTCTTTTTTAATGTCACGCCTTCGTCCGTTTTTATTGGTTAAAATCAAAATCACGACTGAGATTTTTTTTCAGCGACTGCCTCCGATTGGATGAGGTTACAAACAAAGTATGTATTGATATATTTAAACGGAATATTTTACCATATATTATAATAGACTATTATGCTATATTTCAGAATTATAAGTTGTAATTCGCGTATGATTATTACCAGAAACATGTTTTATTTAAAGGATTTTCTTTGTGTGTTGTTTCAAGTATGGAATAAACTAAACAGACCACTTTTAATGTAATAATAAAAATTAAATAATATAAATGTATAAGCCGTTTTTAATTAATGGTATAGCTGACAAATTGCTTGTGGAAACGCACACTCCTAAGAAGCTGGTTTGAGGGCGCTTGAAATAGCATTTCGACCAAATCAAATATAAGAATTTGTCAATTGTGTTGAAAAAAGTAAAGCGAATTTGTTCGGATAAATCACGCCCCATCTATAAAACTGTCAAGAAAATGAATATAAATGTGTTTATAATTCCAATAGTACACGGACAATTAAAAATGAGACATTTCTATAAGTCTTGATTCAGTTTCTATGGAGACATAATGTTTCCGCATTTTGTGACATGACCCAAGATTTGGAAGGGTCATTATTTCTTTAAACAACATCCTGATGACCGAACTCGACCTTGGTTATTCTGGTGCTGAAGTCCCATTTTAGAGATAAATGGACAAATTTTCAAAAATTATAAGTACAAAAATTTATTTGAACGTATTAAACTCAAGAGGATATCGTTTTAGCATAGTTTTATTATAAAATAAATATAAGTTGTCTCGTAATAATAATATGGCTTTTTAATAAGTCAGTTTTGTAAAAATTCAAAGGAAATTCAAATTATTATTTTGGAATTTATTTATTTTATTTTTACTGATATTGCTTTAAACTTTTTGAATAATTTTAATTACGTATGAAAAAAAAATTAACATGTCTTAAAATAAATAAATAATTTATAATTGAATGCACATGCATGTGTTGCAAGAAATGAATTTTAAGTAATTTGTGCATTTGAATAAAATATATAAAAAATGAAATTGCATATTTGATTTCAATATTTATTTTGATGTGTTTATTGTATATTCCAATAAGTTTTAAAATGTAGATTACTATAATAAAAAATCGTCTGTGTGGAATAAGAAAAAAAAATCCTCGATTATACACAGATATCAATTAGAATATCTATAGGACCACGTATGGTCAAAAATATATTTTGAAAATTGGTACATCCTTGGAAGTATTATATGTGCATGTATCAGTATCATACTTTCATGGTACGACTGTTAATGTTAATAGGGTATCAATGCGTTCAATGTATGATAATAACATATATGATAACAAAAGTAACAATAACAATAATAATAATAATCAAAATGATAAATATATATTCATCATCATCAAGATAAGATATAATGATAAAAACAACAATGCCTGCCATAGATGAAACGCGTTCCGTAATGGATCTTTTACTTCAAATTTTTGTCCAGAGCTGAGGGAATCTGTTAAGTCTAGCTATTTTTTTTTTTACAAAACAATGAATAGAAAAGAAAAGATTTCTTTCAAAGTCCATCTGGTAATACTTTTCGCCTTTTTTGGCCGAGATTAAGTCTCACGATAAAGTATCAATCGGCATTATATTGGATCTTTTACTCTCCACATATAGGCAAATCTGAGACAGTGAGGGTGTCTATCGAATATAAAGCTTCTGTATTATTTCTATTGATTTTTTCAACCATAAAATGAATTCTATTCTTCGTGTTCTTGTGTTATTTCATAAAGAAACAAAATAAAGACAAAATAGTTAGCAATTGCTACTGAACGTCCAGTAGAAAATATCTTGATGATGCATAATTTTATAATAGGACGTTACAAATTCTAGTAAGATCCCAAAAAAGGATGGATAGGATGAATGGACGATAATTTTGTCTAATTGCAAGAGTAAAAATATAAGAACAGGTCATATTAATAAAGTTAGAAGAACAAGTCATCTGAGTAAATTAGAAGAACACAGGGCTGATATGCGTAAAGCCACTTAAGTTAAGATATCCATTCGTATATAGTACTAATTTATCGTAGGACATGTAGAAAATGCTGTCCGTTCGGAACAAATCTCAACTTAAGTAGTTTTATGCATATCAGCCATGGTCATCTGAGTAAATTAGAAGAACAGGTCATCTGAGTATAAAGTTATAATACCAAGTAATCTAGGGATACAATCGAAAAGGTGTTGAATTCATAAACGTGCAGACACTGAGAAATTTTCCAACTACGCATTGGATTTAACTGAAGCAAAATCAGACTTAACTTTACATAAACTCGTATAATCCAGACTTTCAATCCACAAACTAAGATTGATTGAAATGGAAAAATCATCGACAAAATTCGCAGGTTTTGCGGAGATTATTAGTCGACTTTAGTAACACAATTGATATCCCCATTATAAAGAGTTGTTTCTAGAATTCACTTAATTGAAATGAATGTGGTTTTCTACCATGCAGCAAATATAAAAAAATAAGTCCCAAAATCAGACCTGATGTGACTGGACATTTATACATCCCGCCAGACAAACTTGCACACCTTTGAAGTAGTTTTCTACTGACGGTAGAAAGAAGTCCATGTTTACTTTTATCTTTATTCATGCTTCATGATTTGTGATGCGTCCAAAGGGTAACTGGGGAATATAGAAATATAGTCACTTTGGTCTTCTCTAAACCGGCAGTACAACCCTGGTCAAAGTGGGGCTTCCGTTTGGCTGTGCGGGATGTATAAATACGCAGCCACGTCCGTTCAGAATGTGGACGTTAAGAATCCTTGCAACAACTCTTCGAGGGGTCCGTGGCAAAGTTTCTGTCCCTATGAACAATACCATAATTTGCCAACAGTCAACATTTACCCTAAATCCATCTCGGACGGCTTCTATTACAGGACCTACCAATTGTATTTAATGTATTTAGTTTGTTCTTGTCCGGAACATGCATGAATTATTTTCCACTGGACGTTAAGCCAACATCAATCAATCATAGTGTGTGATGCAAAACAAGAAAAAAAGGATCGGTATATTGCGCTGGTTCTTTTTACGCAGCGAGTTTTGCATGCGTCCAATACGTGTCTCAGAGTTAAAACTCCGTCAAACCAGTCAAACTAGTTCTCAACCTGTATATGAACTGAACAAGGGTTCTTCGCGTACTTAGATTCTGTGGTACTTCTACATTTCATTACACTAGTCCAAATCAGACTGAACGTTACGTCGTAGTAGTACGAGGTACTGGCGTCACAGTCGACTATGGGTCACACCAAAATGACTAGCATAACATATCATACTATTACATGAATTACAGGCTTCTGACTTGGGACAAGGAACAGGAACACAAGAATTTGTCGGGAATAAAGATGTTTGTTACCGCTCAACCCTCCTCTAACTTGGAACAGTGGTGTAAAAGCGTAACAAAACTTTTGAAAAGTCAGATCACAAAAACAACTAACAAAGTAACTGAAAACTATAGTTTAAAGCTAATATAACAACTTTAAATAAATCATGTTCTTCCAGACTAAATTATCAATCAGAACATATCCAACGGATTTAGTGTAAAGACGTCATAAATAGTCTGGTAAAAACATAACCTTGTGCAATGAAAAACAATAGGAAAAGCTAGTTTTAAGTAATTCATGGAAACGAAATCCCATAATATACATATAGACAACATTCATTGAAATATAAAAAGTCCCAACAGTCACGGACGTAGAAAACCGGTTGGAAATATGCACAGCGTAAAAAAAGAGGTGTAAAATACCAAGGGGACATTCAAAACTCAGAAGTCGAGATAAACTGACAACGGCATAATAAAAATTAATGTCGATGAAAAGGCAAATAAATTCTCAAGATTTCATTGACAACTAGAGACTGAGCAACACGAACCACACCAACAACTAGGGGTATCTCAGGTACTCCGGATGGGTAAGCAAATTCTGCTCAAATGGTGGTATCCGTCGTGTTGCTCGTGAAAAAATCAAGTTCAGGTATGAGTCTCATTCGGTGGTGTAACAAACGAGGAAAACAGAACATATAAGAAGGGACCAAAGGAACATCGACATCCAAAACAAATGAAAAAATTAACAAAAGTAACGAAAGATCGTCTCTTATAACTTGTCGTAAATTTTGCTTTTATTTTCCCGTGAAAAACTGAAATATCCAAATCTGGAATCTGATTTTAATATTAGATTTGGGTAAATTTATACAAATAAATTAAGAGAAGTCAAATTAGACTGATGTTTATAATAATATAATTTCAGAAAACTAAGTTTAGCGCTTGGTATAGTCAATTTCTTTAAATATGTACACAGCATCCACTCTTTTAACCCCCCCCCCCCCTTTTTACCCTTTTACCCCAACCCGTTTATTTAATGCGTTATTGATATTTTCACCAATAAGATTAACTTCATTTGTAAAAGATACATATAGATTCCACAACACTAACCAGTATATCACGATATTTATCCACTAAATAGTAGAATTTAAAAACATTGAAATCGGCGAGGTTTTATTATATACTATTTTACTTATTAGCTTATACCTAAATTACTTAACAGTTGATGAAAAATAGGACGATTTTACTCATATTTATTCAAAATAACACCATAGAATCACTCTTTACAACAGATCAGGTCTTTTTTTAGATTAAAAAGATACATTGAAAATTTTACGCCAGACCATTTAGACTAAATATGTAAAACAAAACTTGGGTTAATTTATGAAATTTTAGTTAGGAGAAAATTATATGAAATAGGCACATAATTCCTGAAACTCAAGTATACAGCGATGCGTGATTGTATATCCGTCGGGGTTT